TATATTTTTATTGATTCAAAATTAAATTGTCCCTTGCCCTAAACCGTTTAGAAACTTACATCTTTTATTTCTGCAACAATTGTATTGCGAATATCGCGAGCTGACATTATAGTCAATTCGATTATAGATTTTCGCGATATACAGATTTTTTCCTCTTTTCTGAATCCTTCAAGATAAGGGTCGATAATTTCTCTGAAACCGCTATCGTCCATAAGGGAAAATGGCCTACCATTTTCTGTCACCAGAGTAATGCACGCAGATTTCAGTCTCTCTGGTGTCATTGAAAATAAACTTTTTCCCGTATTTTCTTTTAAATGGCATTTTTATTTTTCTTCTTCATCGCCTCTTCGTAGATTACATCGCTGAATTCTTTCGAATGGACTTTTTTCAAATGATTTTTGAAAGTAGCAGAATGTTTGTTCTAATGGCAAGAAAAGCAAAGAATAGTAAGCAATAAGGCATGCGATAAAAATGAAATGTAAAAAAAATTCATCTTTAAGAATCAATAGAAGCAGTGAGCAAAGCATAGAAAAAAGAAATAAAAATAATATTAAGAAATGAAATATATGTAGCAAAAATTAGAATGATAGAGAAATAAAGAAATGATTGAAAAAGAAAAATAGCAGAAAGAAAGAATAGTATATTAAGCAACAAGAGGAGAAACGCAGCCATTATTCTCGTGTTACTTACGATATTTTTTATTCCTAATGCACAAAAGCGGCGATTTCAGATAGCAGACGACAGGGAGTAAAAGTCATTCACTTGTTCGATTTGTATGAAAATGGCGGCCGATTTCTCCCTTGGGCAAGAAAAATGCATGTGAACAGCTAATTTTCTTGCCCTTGGGAGAACACGGCCGCCAATTTCATACGGTCGAAGAAATGAATGACTTTCCTCCCTGTCGGCTGCTATCAGAAAGCGCCGTTTTTGTGCATGTGGGATAAAAAAGAATTTTTTCCCCTTACCTCGGTCAAGAAATTCTAAACATTTACTTAATTGAAAATAAAAGATAAAGGCAAAAAAGTTAAAAGAAAGAAGACAATAAAAGCAGAAAAAAAGAGAAGTCCAAAATGATAAAAATAAGAAATAAACATGCAAAAATTGTAGAAATGAAGGAAAACCAAAACAGGAATTGGTCCGCCATCTTGAAAATTTAATTTCTACTTTACTTTTCTTAAAAGTGTATAATTTTTATGCACCGATGGTTGAAAATAGAATTTTATTCTTACACTTTTTCGAGGTGGATAAAATGTCAAACTTGAAAAAATGAATTTTTTGTGTTTTTGACATTAAAACCGCCATATTTAATTTTGGTTTGGACGAAATTTATTTTTGACACCGGAATCGGAAAGAGCACATCCAAAACCTTTAGGAAATGTGCCTCTGGTATAAATTGTCAACCGTTTTATTTATAATTACGTAGCTTGAAAATGACCAAAGAATTTTCACGAGTTGGGCGTTAATAGGTTAATCAATAATTACTTATTTCTATATTTAAACAATTACATTCTCATAGAACATTCTAATCAGAATTAATTTAAAAAAGAATTCCAGTTAATATTTTAAATAACACAGGGCCACAAATTTTTTTTAAAGAAAGTATTGACCGGACTATGTTTATTATATGTTTTTTGGGTCACTGAATTCGAATCCGAACTCAGTTTTCCGCCATCACGTCAAGTTTCTTCACAAATTAATAAAATTCGAAAAAAACTGACTGTAAACAAGATTTAAATAAAAATAAACAGAAGATTGTATTAAAAAACAACTTTAAAACACTGTAAAAATATTATATAATGTTAAACAATCAAAGAAACTCGTAAAGATTCAAAATTTAAGATGGCGGATCCAATATAGCGTCGATTTTTTTAAAATTCACCCAATTCGCCTTAATCTTGTTACTCAGGGCTTTTTGGGGTTGCTAAATACGAATTTCACCTTAGTTTTTAAAAATTCAAAATGGCGGATCTAATATGGCTGACCAATTTTTAAACAAATTATTGGATTTACCTGAAACGTTATACTAGAGGGTTTTCGGGGTCGTTGAATACGAATTTCACCTTAGTTTTCAAAAATTTAAAAACTAATAATACTATAGGTATGCATTATAATATAAATTTAAAAGAAATTTAATTTAGGATAATTTGAACCATTATGATGTTACAGGTTGTGCAAAGCATGTGTTCTAATGCTGTGACGTCATTATGGTTCAAATGCCTTTAATTAATTGAATTCTTGTGAAAATTTTTTTATTTATGGAAATAATTGATTGTTTGCGAAGAATTTTACAAAAAAAATTTTTAATTATTTAATTATTTTGGTAAATTTTTTATTAAAATAGTGGATATTAAAAATCATTAAATTGAGGAAATTTTTTGAAAATAATTAAATCGTTTTAAAAAATTCTATTTAAATTTTTTGACTTTTTTCCAATAACTTTATTAAAAATTTTTTAAATAATTTTTTAATTTTAACTATATTAACAAATTTAAAGTAATGTAAATTCTCAAACATGGAAAAAAGTATCTTTTAGTGTAAGAAATAAAAGAAAAGCATCCAAATAGTAGCAAATCGTAAAAAAAATTAGTAAATAATTAAATTCTTTTGAGGAATTCAATTAAATTGTATTAAGAATAATTGAAATCTTATAAAGAAATTTAAAACAAATTGTTTTTAAAATTTAATTATTTTGAGAAATTGTATTAAAATTACATTGAAAATAATTCTATTCCTGTGAAGAATTTTATTAAAATTAAAATAATTGCATTCTTGCAAATTTCTTTAAAAAATTTAATTAAAACTAATTTAATTAAAAATTTATTGAAAATAATTCAATTTTTATATAGAATTTTTCTTATTAATATTATTATATTTTTATATTATAATTTTAATTTGCAGATGATAACGATAGTTATGTAATTAAATTTTGGCGCAATGTGAGGGTAACGGTTGTAGACTTCATTGCAATTAAATGCTGCAACCTGCTATACAAGACTGTTATTCATTTCTATTTAAAGCACAGGCGCTCGCCAAATGAAACATAAATTTTTGGATTGATTAATAGCAGTAAAAAAATGAAGACACTTGCAAACGATATAAAAATGCTGTTCATGGAAACAAGCTTCACTAGAACTGATGAGTTAATAGCACATATAGATTAGTCAATAATTGTTTATAAATTTAATTTGATCGATGAGAAGTCAATACGTGAGAGACTTTCTTTATTTCTTGCATATAATTAACATTTTAATTTTTTTATTTTACAAACCGTATTGTTAATTTGATTTAAAATATAGGTAATAATATAATTGATATAGGTTTTAAAATGCTTCATAGTTTAAAAAAATTTATGTTATTTTTGATAAATAAGTAAAATAATATTATTTATTATCAATTAAATATTTATTAGAATTAAATAATTTTTATTCAAGTTACTTAAATGAAATTTGCTTAAAATATTAAAATTATTAGTTCAAAATTCAAGTACAATTTATTTCATTTCAATAAAAGATATTTGATTTAAGTAAATATATTTTTGTGATAACAGATAAGTATCTAATCGGTTAATCGAATTTAATTAATTTAAGTGCATATATTTCTTTACTTTAATACTGCATGTAATAATTACTTTTTAGTTTTCATTTTGTAAATTAATAATGTTGTTCATTTTTTTGCAGTTTCACGCAATCGTATTTTTGATGATACTGAATCAGATGATTAATGTAAAGTGCAAATTAATAAAGTTATAAATTTCTCATTAACATTATTCTTTAACTATATGTGACGCGATATGAAGAAAGGGACCCAAGAAGCCGAGCAATACCAACCGGCTGGTGAGAGTCATCCCCACCATTTTGAAGTCTGCCTTCTTCCAAGCGTCACAAACATTAGACTCTCGCATGGAAGAAGAGACTTTGATATGGTGGGGACGACTGTCACCAGCCGCACAGTGTGCCTTTTTCTGAAAATGTATTCAAAACCTAGTATCTCTTGAAGGAATTAACGAAATTGAATGGTTCTTGGACGAAAATAAAGCTTAATAAATGCAGAATACAGGAAAATTATACAAAAACAAGGTTAACAAATTTTAAGGTTAAGAATCAGTGTCAAAAGTAAAAAATTTCATTAACCCTTTGCGGCATAGTGGTAACCTAGATTACCACCTTTTATATTCTGAAAATATCTGTTTATATACAGTCTTTTTCAAGTAAAATCAAAAAATCTTTGTGTATTAATAATCAAAATATTGTTGAATGTCGAAAAATTGATAGTAAATGAGGTTACGTGAAATTATAAACAACTATAAATAAATAAATTGAAGAACAAAAAAATTTTTTTTTAAATTCAATCGAAATTGATTGAAAGTCTTTACTCGGGGGTTTTTGGGGTCGCTGATTACGAATCTGAAGTCCGATTCCCAAAATTCAAAATGTCGGATCCAATATGGCGGAAAACGAAATCAAAAATTAATTATAATGGCTTGAAACTGAATACTCGGGGGTTTTTAGGGTCGCTGATCACGAATCTGAAGTCTGTTTTTAAAAATTCAAGATAGCGGATCCAATATGGCGGATGACTTTTTTTAGAATTGATCGAAATCGCTTGAAAATAGTTATTCGGGGGTTTTTGGGGTCGCTAATTACGAATCTGAAGTCCGTTTTCCAAAATTCAAGATGGAGGATCTAATATGGCGGACGAATTTCTTATAATTGATCAAAATCGCTTGGAAATCGTTACTCGTGGGTTTCTGGGGTCGCTGATTACGAATCTGAAATTACTTTCAATAAATAAACGTTAATTTATTGAATAATTGTACCGTCGGCATTTACGTTACCCAATGTACACCGCGGGGAGGTTGCACGATCGGATTTTGTACATCGTTTAGCCCTGAAAAGGGCAGATTGGTAAATACTGTTCAAAACTTTATAATAATTAAATTGAGCTGTTTATTTCCTAATAAAATTAACTAATTAATTAAAATCAGCGGATTTTAATTGCTATTATAAAGTTTTGATGTGTCTTGCTTTGGACAATTGAATTTTATTTTCAGCAGTGGTAAGCAGCGAAGCAATTTCTTGTGGGAAGCAGGCAGAGTGGTACATTGCAAGTTTTACACATCCATGATGTTCGCTTTTGGTCGGCTTTAGTACTGCAATGAGCGCAGCGTCTAGGTGAAGCGATAATTTCAGGCATATAAGCTGATTGACTTTTTCTTTTTTCTTTGACACTTTTGGTTTGTAAGAAGAGATTGTACTCAATTTACGTTTCTTCCCAGTTGAACTTGGTAGTTTGTGTCCTACCAATTCATCTACTAAACGTAACCTGAATTCTTTCGAAGTCAAAGTTGGGTTCAATCTCTTCTCTTTGTACAAAATATACGCATTGACAACAATGACATATAAGAAATGGAAGAATATTCTATGCCACCATTTCTTAGATTTCCTGTCAATGTTATATGTTGACAAGAAATGGTCAGCCTTATCTACATAGCCCATGTGTTTGTTGTAGTCAAAAGCCATTACAGGACAACTGGTGGGTTTCAGCGTGCCATCTTTTTGTTTACGATTCACCGGCGCAGTTTCACGAGGGTCATGATAGTTAGACAAGAAGTAGACTGCCTTCTTGTCCATCCATTTGACCCATCGAATACCCGTATTCGATGTTCGGAATTCGCTATCACCATGTTTCATTTGTTTGTCTTGCACTTCACTTTTTGGCAATCTTGATCGATTCTGACGTACAGTACCGCAAGCAAAAATTTTATCTTTTTTCAGAGATATCATAAGATCTACCCCTGTGAAAAAGTTATCAAAATAAACATGGTGATTGTTGCCCTTCAATTCGCGAGTGAGATCTTTTACTACTCTTGCTCCGAACTGCTTTTCCGTACTTTCAGTCTTACCTGTGTACATCTGAAATTCGCATACATAACCTGATGGATCTGCTAGAACCCAGCACTTATATCCCCGTTTTATAGGTTTGAGTGGCATGTATTGTTTCATGCTACTACGACCTTTGCATTTTATCATAGATTCATCGACACTTTGGTATTTATTTGACATAAAATTTTTTTTTAAATTTTCATTCACCTTATCTAGAAAAGGCCGCAATTTATATAACTTGTCATAAGCCGCATTACCCTTTTTTGGTTCTGTACTGTTATCGGTGATGTGTAAACAACCAAGAAAAAATCGGAATCTAACAACAGACATCAACGAACTTATGTAAGGATCATTTAGTTGCGGATTGGCAGACCAGTAATCCTGATAAGAAGGAGAATTTTTAACACCCATTAAAATATTAATGCCCAAGAAAATCAACAATTCTTCTTTAGTAGTGGGTGGTTGTTTATATCCCTTTTGTTGCAAATAACGATTTGTTTCTTGAACAATCAAGTCAAGCAAATCATCGGAAAATAAGCAAAGAAATATTTCTGATGGCGTTTTGACATTATCGGGAATATTAGGTCCAACATTTCTAGTAAAGGGAGCATCCCTTTTCCTCTTTCCTGATTTTACCCACTTTTCATCACTATCTGAGACATCGTCTGCAGAATCTTCTTCATCAAAGATAGCAGAACTAATCTGCTTAGTAGCTTCATTTCGTTTATTCCTAATGTTGAAATCATCATCAATATCGGAAACACATAAGTCATCAATAGAGTCACTATCACTTGGAATATCGACCAACTCCACATCTTCCTCCATGTTCTCAGTCAAATATAATTATAATAGCAGCACAATGAGCACAAGAAAGGAAGCAAAAAACCAACGGGCAAAGTCACGAAAAATAGGATACTGAAAATAATATAAAATACAAAAACAAATGACAATCGCAATAGAAGACAAGCTCTAAATTAGTATTATTTGACTGCACGAATATCCACGTTATTGGTAACAAAAAATAAAGAAAACACTTCTGAGTTAAAAGACACTGTATATACACTGAAATCAAATAAATGCTGCTAAAAAACGAACAAAAGACTGAAAGTGGAAAAAAGTTCTTTTTACTAAAAGCACGTTTACGCACTAAGCAAGAAATAAAAAACAGAAACACAAATGAAAGACGAAAAACTTATTCTTTTTCACAGAATATAAGTTTAAATTACAAGAAATAAATAAAAAACACAAAGAAAAATTAGCCCTAATTCAGAATTATTTGACTGAACGCATACCTACGTTGATGATAACAAACAATAAACAAAACATTATTCAGAGTTTGACAAAACAAATGAGAAGCGCAAAAAAGACAAGTTCTAATTCAACATTATTTTACTAAACGCATACCTACGTTGATGGTAACAAACAATAAACAAAATACTATCCATAGTTTGACGAAACAAATGACAAGCGTAAAAACGACAAGTTCTAATTCAGCATTATTTGACTGACCGCATATCTACGTTGATGGTAACAAACAATAAACAAAATACTATCGATAGTTTGACGAAACAAATGACAAGCGTAAAAAAGACAAGTTCTAATTCAGAATTATTTAACTGAACGCATACCTACGTTGATGGTAACACACAATAAACAAAACACTATTCATAGTTTGACGAAACAAATGACAATCGCAAAAAAGACAAGTTATAAATCAGCATTATTTGACTGAACGCATATTTACGTTGATGAGAACAAACAATAAACAAAACACTGTTGAGAGTTCAAAGACACTAAAATACTAACTGGACTAAAGCAAATAAATTTTGCTGAAAGCGAATTGCTTCGCTGCTTACCACTGCTGAAAATAAAATTCAATTATTGTTCAAAGCAAGACACATCAAAACTTTATAATAGCAATTAAAATCCGCTGATTTTAATTAATAAGTTAATTTTATTAGGAAATAAACAGCTCATTTTGATTATTATTATAAAGTTTTGAACAGTATTTACCAAACTGCCCTTTTCAGGGCTAAACGATGTACAAAACCCGATCGTGCAACCTCCCCGCGGTGTACATCGGGTAACGCAAATGCCGACGGTACAATTATTCAATAAATTAACGTTTATTTATTGAAAGTAATTTCAGATTCGTAATCAGCGACCCCAAAAACCCCCGAGTAACGATTTCCAAGCGATTTCGATCAATTATAAGAAATTCGTCCGCCATATTGGATCCTCCATCTTGAATTTTGGAAAACAGACTTCAGATTCGTAATTAGCGACCCCAAAAATCCCCGAGTAACTATTTTCAAGCGATTTCGATCAATTCTAAAAAAATTCGTCCGCCATATTGGATCCGCCATTTTGAATTTTGGAAAACGGACTTCAGATTCGTGATCAGCGACCCCGAAATCCCTCGAGTAACTATTTTCAAGCGATTTCGATCAATTCTAAAAAAAATTCGTCCGCCATCTTGAATTTTGGAAAACGGATTTCAGATTCGTAATCAGTGACCCAGAAAACCCTCATAAGCATTTGTGATTTTTAAATTAATGTCATAATGTTATGCATGCCGCAAAGGGTTAAAAAGTCACAAATCTTGGCCTGCACAGTGGGCCAGGATTGTCGATTTTTGGCCAAAAATCATTATTTACAAAAACAAGATATTTACAAATAACAAATATGCTACCTACAGTTTTTGGGGTCGCTGATTACGAATCTGAAGTCAGATTTCAAAAATTCAAAATGGCGGATCCAATATGACGATTCTATACATATGTTGTTTACCAAAAAAAAGTTAAAATTAAAGGAATTTATTATTTTTTCCAGATACATATAGAATGAAGTTAACTCTGCCAAAAACCCGTTACCGTACATTTTCCCGAATCCTATTTCCCGAAAGCCTTTTTCCCGACAAACCTTCTTCCCGACAAATGTTTTTCCCGAATCCTATTTCCCGACAACCATTTTCCCGAATCCTATTTCCCGACAACTATTTTCCCGACAATCCTTCTTCCCGACAACCATTTTCCCGACAAACATAATTTTCAAAATGTTCTTACTGAATCACTTCAGTTGTTAATCTTTATTTGTTGCTATGGCAGTAGTAACATTAACGTCATTTTCAATCAGTCATTTTTATTTGTAACCTTTTGAATTTTGGATTTTTTCTAAATTCCTGTGTTTCAATTGTATAAAAATATGGAGTCGTCAGCAATAATTATTGGTAATAAGTTGATCTGTGATGGTTATGTGTACTTATAATCAAGAGAAAAGAATGGAAAGAAATACTGGGACTGTAATAGGTTAAGGAGCAGAGAATTCAGTGCGAGGGCTGTAACTATTATGCAAAATAATGAAGTTATTGTACTTCGAGGACCTGAGGAATCTAAACACTCCACTCATCCGCCAAACCGTGAAGATTGTAAAATAAATAAAATATATTGGTAAAGTAAATTCGTTAATTTATTATTATTATTATTTAACGTAGGCGAGGCAGAGATTATCTGTGATCGTCTGAAACGGAAAGCTGCTTCTCATCCAGAGCAGCCACCCGCACAAATAATTCGAGCCGAACTTGCAAATGTTCCTGTTAATGTTCTCAGTCAACTGCCGGAAAGACATAATTTGGCTAAGTCAATGCGAAAATTTCGGCGTAGAGATTTGCCTCCAAATCCAAAATCTTTGGCGGAGTTAAAAGATATTCCAGAACGTTTTTCAAATACGTTATCGGGGGAGAGGTTCCTTATAGACGATCATGACGATGAAGAAATCAAAGTCCTTGTTTTTGCTACGCGGCGGAACCTAGAATTTCTTGCGAAAAGTAACACTTGGTTCTTGGACGGCACATTTAAAGTTCGTTTAAATAATAAATTATTCATAGTAATTGTTTTTTCCGTTTCCTTTTTTTTAATAACCTTAATTCTTAATCTGTAATTTTGTAGGTTTCTACAAAATCAGTTCACGATTATTTAAAATTACTGGCACATAATATACATTTGTGATTGACTCCATTGTTACAATTCTTTTTATTTTCAGAGATTTTTATTGATTTTTTTATATTATACTTCAGAATTTATAAATAAAAACATGTTCTTCTTACATTTATTTAGAAATTTCTTTGTCGGGGTTTGTATTTTCGGGAAAATGGTTGTCGGGAAATAAGATTCGGGAAAATCATCTGTCGGGAAGAAGGCTTGTCGGGAAATCGTTTGTCGGGAAATAGGAATCGGGAAAAAGGACGGGAATCCCAAAAACCATACCTATCATTAAATAAATATTTACTGTATCACATAAGTTTTATCTACACGGAGAGAAAAAAAAGTATGCGAAACAGCCGTTCAACTTGAGGTTAAGCACGCTGCTTACTCTCGAGGGGAGAACGGTTCTCCTTTTTGGGGAAAGCGGGTACACTTTTTGGAAAGTAAGCGGCTCTATTCGTGTGGAGAAGCGAACAGATACTCCTCAAAAAGTATAACCGTTCAACGTTTACGGCACCACTGCTGCGTTTTATAAAGGGAAAACAGCGCTCTCATGCCAAATCAAACGGCTCTCTTTTTCTCTCTCCGTGTAAATCACTTTAATGCTATTTAACCCAATCTTTTCAGTATTTAAAGCAAATACCATTTAACTTAATCTTTAAATTTTAACATTTTTTGGTAAACAACATATGTATAAAATCGTGAAAAAGTAAGGAATTTAAATATGTTAATTTGAAAATGAAAAATGTTACTATTTAAAAATTTATATTTTTATAGAAAAGTCATTAACAGTTTTCCTTAATGAGGGTTCAAGGATCCGAGCGACCCCCGCTGTGAGGGTTGCTCGGGACTCAATTCCAAGTAACACTCGCAGCGGGGGGCGCTATGTCTCTTCTAACTGCGAACAGAAAAAATAACTGCGACCAAACAAAATAATTGCGAACAGACAAGATAAATGCGAACAGAGAATATATATATATGAGGCATTATTCCTGAACTGCCCCAAAAATAAAAAAAAGATTCTTGGATTTCCTTTATACTTTAAAAATATGTTACCCTAGTAGGTACAAGTTACTACACCAATTTACAGGTCCAACTCCCCACCCCAATCAAAAGGGTGGGGGGTTGAAATTTCAGCTTCAACTCGAACATGCATTCTTTAAACATTTGTAGTTTCTACTTAAATTATTCAATTAAAAAAAGTAAGTAGTGTTTTAGAAAGGTTTTTTTGTGTACTTTTAAAATATTTTATTTATATAATAAAAAAAAAATTTTTTTTGCAAAAATTTTTTAAAATAAATAGTTTTTTGCAATTTTGTGCAAGTTCGGTAGTTTTTATTTTCTTTTTAATAATCTCAAATGAAAGCTTGGGAATTCCCCTAAAAGAAGATATAAGTCTGAAAATGGGCCGAAACAATTTGCCAAAGATATAGTGAAATAAGTAAAATTTGTCCGTCCGCTCGCGCACTCCAGCGCGATGAACAGTGGGATTTTTTTTCAACTTACTATTGAAAATTGTCTAGAAACTATAAATTTTATCGGATGTTGATGTTCTTGATTTAAAATTACTAAGAGATCCATCAAAGTCGATTTTTGAATTTTGAATTGTTTATTTTTTTCTTGTTACTCAAAAATTTGATAAATTACAATATTTTTAGAAAAAATCATGTTAGTTTTTTCATTTTTCCATTACACATGATCGAAATCAATTTAAATTAGTCTAGTATGACCACCGGACAATTAATAAAGCATAATACAATTTATTTAAATTGTTGCAAACAATGTTAATTAACAAATAGATTACTTCGGACCTTCTTCATAAAAAAAATTGGTTTTTTTGCA